AAAGTTTGATCACCCTGGTTTAAGAGCCACTGGCTACAAAGTTGTCAAAATGTTACCTCAAATAAGCACCACCCAGAAATGAAAGTGTTACAAAGTGGCTCTTATTTGATGGTTTTTACGGTAGTTGATTTGTCTTAGTTTGTCTTAGGCTGGGCAGCATAACTTACCTTCGCTGAGATTCCCAATTACACTCTGTTTTTCAAAGAACTTGAGGCATAGGTCTTTGGTAAGCCCAAATGACATCATGTTATTAGTGAAAGTAACCAGCTGTCCAAACGTGATATTCTCGTCTTGTTGTAGAGTATCCTCGCGTTCTGCTGATGTCATGCGTCGCCAATTTTCCCTACGAAATATATGAACCATAATCATGTTGTTAATACCTATATTTAGTACTTGGCCATGCGCGACTGACTATAAATAAAAAAATACAGTTGTGTGTATTACGCAATTACGCTTATTTACATGCTCCCATGATATGTTGCCATGTTTTCACAGCAGAGACATTAAAAAACAAATGAATGACATTTGTCAACGATTCACAGGTTGAAGCACTACAATTGAAGACTGTAGACTGGGAGATTATTAGTTAAAGTCTACAGGTGTCTTTCTGAAAGGTTGATTAAAAAGATTATTTTAGATTACCATGTAGCTATTGCGATAGGAAGGTGTCACCACGTCATGTTATCACAGAAATAGAACATGGTTTGTGGTAAAATGCACTGTATGCATGTTTCAAGTGGACATTTCTGTCTGGCGAGAAAATGGAGACTTTCAATGTTTGCAACTGTCCCCTTAGACAAAACGAGATAAAATACAGAACTGATTAACTGACAGTGTTTAAAACACCAATGGAAGAAGAAGACTATACTGGGGTAAGATAAAATACACCAAGTTATTCATACCTGTGAATTGGTGATCTCTGTTCTCTCTCGCAGTGTACAGCGTCAAAGAAAGCAGCATTCCAGAAACGTAGCGATTGCCATATCGGTTGATCTTTCAAGAAACTGTACAAGTAGCCTCTTGTGGTCTTTGCTTCATTTCTTGGGAAACCTGCAAAACAAATGAACATGTATATGTTAAATATTTCTGTGTATGCATGCTATCTGAGAGTTTTCTGTAAAACATAATCTGGATTCTGTACTTTATAAAATTATGTATTAACATAATTTATATGTATCTCTGATTTTATATATCCATATACCTTATCTACCCACAATCAATGAGATACCGTACCACAATAGCTACCAGGTATCCATGCATATTCTTTATAGTATAGACATGCACAGTTCCGAGAAGAGCACTACACTTAGTAACCAATGACGTGATTGTTTGATTGCTATTCCATTAACCCATGCCCTCCTTAAGTTTACCACAGAGAACAGACCATGAAATATGACATAAATTGAATATATAACATAAATGTACTTGACATTGAGGTGACAATCAACATTTCAGCTTGACATGGAGTTGATATACCCTATTCCTGTTAATCAATGTTTATTAATACTTATCTTAATCCCCAGAGAGAGAGAAATGGTCAACTTGACATTGAGGAGACATTTTGACACTGAGGTAGAGTTAGGAATGTCAGCTTGACACTGAGGTACAGTTAGGAATGCCAGCTTGACACTGAGGTAGAGTTAGGAATGCCAGCTTGACACTGAGGTAGAGTTAGGAATGCCAGCTTGACACTGAGGTATGGTTAGGAATGTCAGTTTGACACTGAGGTAGAGTTAGGAATGTCAGTTTGACAATGAGGTAGAGTTAGGAATGTCAGTTTGACACTGAGGTAGAGTTAGGAATGTCAGTTTGACAATGAGGTAGAGTTAGGAATGTCAGTTTGACAATGAGGTAGAGTTAGGAATGTCAGTTTGACACTGAGGTAGAGTTAGAAATGTCAGCTGACACTGAGGTAGAGTTAGGAATGGCAGCTTTACAATGAGATAGTTAGGAATGTCAGCTTGACACTGAGGTAGAGTTTGGAATGCCAGCTTGACACTGAGATAGAGTTAGGAATGTCAGCTTGACACTGAGGTAGAGTTAGGAATGTCAGCTGACATTGAGGTAGAGTTAGGAATGTCAGCTTGACACTGAGGTAGAGTTAGGAATGTCAGCTGACACTGAGGTAGAGTTAGGAATGTCAGCTGACACTAAGGTAGAGTTAGGAATGTCAGCTGACACTAAGGTAGAGTTAGGAATGGCAGCTTGACAATGAGATAGAGTTAGGAATGTCAGCTTGACACTGAGGTAGAGTTAGGAATGCCAGCTTGACACTGAGGTAGAGTTAGGAATGTCAGCTTGACACTGAGGTAGAGTTAGGAATGTCAGCTTGACACTGAGGTAGAGTTAGGAATGCCAGCTTGACACTGAGGTAGAGTTAGGAATGTCAGCTTGACACTGAGATAGAGTTAGGAATGTCAGCTTGACACCGAGGTAGAGTTAGGAATGACAGCTTGACACTGAGGTAGAGTTAGGAATGTCAGCTTGACACTGAGGTAGAGTTAGGAATGCCAGCTTGACACTGAGGTAGAGTTAGGAATGCCAGCTTGACACTGATGTAGAGTTAGGAATGTCAGTTTGACACTAAGGTAGAGTTAGGAATGGCAGCTTGACAATGAGATAGAGTTAGGAATGTCAGCTTGACACTGAGGTAGAGTTAGGAATGCCAGCTTGACACTAAGGTAGAGTTAGGAATGTCAGCTGACACTAAGGTAGAGTTAGGAATGGCAGCTTGACAATGAGATAGAGTTAGGAATGTCAGCTTGACACTGAGGTAGAGTTAGGAATGCCAGCTTGACACTGAGGTAGAGTTAGGAATGCCAGCTTGACACTGAGGTAGAGTTAGGAATGCCAGCTTGACAATGAGATAGAGTTAGGAATGTCAGCTTGACACTGAGGTAGAGTTAGGAATGCCAGCTTGACACCGAGGTAGACTTAGGAATGTCAGCTTGACACTGAGGTAGACTAAGGAATGTCAGCTTGACACTTAGGTAAACTCAGGAATGTCAGCTTGACAGTGAGATAGAGTTAGGAATGTCAGCTTGACACTGAGGTAGAGTTAGGAATGCCAGCTTGACACTGAGGTAGAGTTAGGAATGCCAGCTTGACACTGAGGTAGAGTTAGGAATGCCAGCTTGACACTGATGTAGAGTTAGGAATGTCAGTTTGACACTAAGGTAGAGTTAGGAATGGCAGCTTGACAATGAGGTAGAGTTAGGAATGCCAGCTTGACACTGAGGTAGAGTTAGGAATGTCAGCTGACACTAAGGTAGAGTTAGGAATGGCAGCTTGACAATGAGATAGAGTTAGGAATGTCAGCTTGACACTGAGGTAGAGTTAGGAATGCCAGCTTGACACCGAGGTAGACTTAGGAATGTCAGCTTGACACTGAGGTAGACTAAGGAATGTCAGCTTGACACTTAGGTAAACTCAGGAATGTCAGCTTGACAGTGAGATAGAGTTAGGAATGTCAGCTTGACACTGAGGTAGAGTTAGGAATGCCAGCTTGACACTGAGGTAGAGTTAGGAATGTCAGCTGACACTAAGGTAGAGTTAGGAATGGCAGCTTGACAATGAGATAGAGTTAGGAATGTCAGCTTGACACTGAGGTAGAGTTAGGAATGCCAGCTTGACACTGAGGTAGAGTTAGGAATGTCAGCTGACACTAAGGTAGAGTTAGGAATGGCAGCTTGACAATGAGATAGAGTTAGGAATGTCAGCTTGACACTGAGGTAGAGTTAGGAATGTCAGCTTGACACCGAGGTAGAGTTAGGAATGTCAGCTTGACACTGAGGTAGAGTTAGGAATGGCAGTTTGACACTGAGGTAGACTTAGGAATGTCAGCTTGACACTGAGCTAGAGTTAGGAATGTCAGCTTGACACCGAGGTAGACTTAGGAATGTCAGTTTGACACTTAGGTAGACTCAGGAATGTCAGCTTGACACTGAGCTAGAGTTAGGAATGTCAGCTTGACACTGAGGTGGAGTTAGGAATGTCAACTTGACACTGAAATATTTATATGCTTCTGTTGTTGATTTTAACATGACTAGTGAATTTATAAACATTCTTCCAAATATTATCAGTTTAGAAATTACTACATAACCCACCACCCCCGCTCGTTGAATACCAGAAATTTACACACTGCACTGTGACATTATACAAAACACTAAACTTATAAAAGACAGTACAAACACTGATAAAACATACAAAGACATGCAGTTGTGTTAATTCAGCACACATACTATAAAATGAAATCAACAAACTGAAAATGTCAGGCTGATACAGACATACAATGTATGCCAGCAGCTGGGGGGTTGATGTTTTATTTAGTTTGAGACATTTGTTTTTATCTTTGACATTTTACCTGTACCCTACAGATTAAAGAATTCATTCCTACGTCAAGTTATTGCTGTTATACTGTTGAATACTTGATTTGACACCAAGAATTCCATTTTTGCTGAATTGTTGTTTCAGTGGAAATTGCATTCAAAGAAGATACCACCTTCTTCATAAGTTGCATGTGAATTATCACAAATTGGCAAAAATACAACATACCACATACCGGTAAATGATTTGCCAATGATGTCTGCCGTTATTTCAGAACTTGGCAAATGGAACACATCAAGTACAAATATTGTTGTCACGATGCGTTCAACTTGCTGGTCATACAGTGTTATTAAAGGCAATACCGTCATTTACAATACATAAAACAACCAGGAATCAAAAAGTGAATTATTTAAAGCCAGCCAAATAAAAACAAATTGCAAAAATACCTGTGGCAGTGATAGTTAAGCCAGGAATTGGTTGGGAACGATTGGCTGCAGAGATGAGAGTAACAATAGTAGCTATACGTATCAGCACATGGTTAGTTACACAGAGCATAATAGTTAGTACAAGCAGATTACAAAACAAAAACACAAAATAAAATGATTGGACTTGCATAATAAAAAGATTCGACTGGTGATCAGTGATATTCTGTTCAAATATTATTATATGTTGGGGACCATCTCGTGTTTAAATTTATGTCGAAATCTTGCAATGCGACCATGTGATGTCTGGGTTTATACATTGCGGTATCCTTAAAATAACCGTACTGTTAAACATGTTCCTGATGGTGTGGTAAGCCAAATACAGCATTATAATTAAAATTATTGGAACTTTTTTGCTATTAATTTTATTTAAAGAAACATCCACAATTTTTTAAAATACCACGCAATAACAATTTATAATTTAAATTTTCTAATATGGTAGATGCAGATACCCTGCGCAATACTTTGAAATGATAGCATGCTGTAACTTAAGAAGGCATTGTGACAGTATAATAATAACTAATAACTCAAGCAAAACATTTTTTATGGTTTCTCACACATAAAACTATACACACATAACAACTTTGAAACATGGAATGGACACAAATTAGAGCACACACCAACAAAAATATTACTGTACAGTATTATTAAAGGCTAAAACATTACAATCAACACAACAAAAATAGATGATTTACACTGAAAAGATGCATAATTAATATGCAAATTACAAATTTTATTTTACATTATTTTGCCCCATTGCCCACCCATGCTATAATCAGACTATTTTACAGTTGAATAAGACCTTATTATTTTAATTTTATAATTATTTCTGTGACCAATGTGTTTCAATCATAATGAAATGTAATTTAATTATCTAAATATTACTTTATTTTATTTATTTATTGATTAATAAATTTATTTATCTATTTATCTATTTATTTATTTGTATTGTATTTATTAATTCAGACACATGCATATATTGTTTCTGTTGGAATAAACTTACTTCATTCATTTATTATGCATAAATTTCTACTAAAACTAATCAAATCACTGTTTCTAATGTAAACCTACTCTGGTGAGCATTTTGGATTGAAAATGTGTCCTGATGGATAAAATTGAGGTTCTTAATTAAAAAATTAGTTCAAAACTTTCAGGTCAAAACTTGTTTCAAAAAATTAGTTTCAACGCATTCCTGCATAACAGTGTTAGCCAACCACCACCCTTATTTCATTTATATTTAACTTCCCTAAATCCAGCGAAAAAAGAACTTCAAATTTTTATTATTACTTTTAAATCATTCATAGCAACTATCTACAGGTAGCAAGTACGTTCATTTGCAGAAGCAAAAGTTTTCGAGACATTACGTTGTGATAATAAACAAAAGAGTCTGCAATTACCATGGTGTGAACAAATACATCGCAGAGTGAGTATTTCACCACCCCCTTACCTACCAATTAAAGAACCCCTCCCTCCCAAATTACATATGGTGTACCCTTAATTGAATTACAAAATGGTGGATTATATTTACCCTCATGTTCATGGTAGAAAGTAAAGCACATATTCATTAAAGACTTGGCAGGAACAAAATCATCAGCATTGTCACATCTGAAAAAGATACAACATGGAGTGTTTGTTATAGGCTATAGTAGCTGCTGGCACTTATATGAGTTATCATATACTTTGTATTGCCCAGCCTCATAACGCTATGGAAAGTGCGCCCTCACAACAGGGCAATAATAATCCATAACACGCCCAGCCCAGCGCGCTTGGTTTTCATCAATATAAACAAAGTGCGTCATTCTAAATTACGTCGTGCGTTTGAGGTCATGCTGTGGTAGAATTGTAACTACACATATAAGGTATATGATAAATCCTTTATGGACTGAATACAGCTTTGTTGCCCTCGGTCATCCGGCTTACACACGACACGACCTCGGGTCGACAAAACCGTATACAGTCCATAAAGATTAGTATTATGAGAATACCACAAAATATGCAAGAAGGCAGACGTGTAGCGACAACGCCTGAGTGCATACTTTGCGGTATTCTCATGATAATCTTATTACATGTATCATATATCTTTTCAATGCTTGTACTACTGTAAAATCTGTATTAGAAGCCGCGGCTTCTATTAAAATGGTACAATGCAACAGAGGGGATGCGGCTTCTATTAGAGCATGTACACATATGAGAAATGATGAATTTTTTATTCTAAATTATTCAAAAAGAATGGGTGCGACTTCTATTAGGGATGCGGCTTCTAATACAGATTTTACGGTAATAAGTTAATAAGAAATAACATCCAAACTGGCAACGAAAACCACTGTGCGTTGTGCAAAAGTCGTCGCCTTGTCCTGCCTGGACAACCACTTTTGTGTAGTACATATATTTTTGCTGTGCAGATGTCCGAGCAAGATCCTAAAATTACTTTGACTGATTTTGTAACCACCAACAACTATAATGTGAAAGGTGACTCTGTGTTCATGGGGTTAAACAAAAAAAACTTGTTTGAACAACCAGGTATTTTTGATCTTGTTTCAACTGTATTATAAATTAAGTTTTACAATCAGAGCAGTGACTGGCAAGTGGTTCTATAAATCAAAATATAATAGATTTAAATGTTCTTTTCAATATTATAATAACAATATGTCTTTTACACTGTAATGAAACGACAAATGAGGATAATGAAATTTGTCAACACAATAATAAAAAAATTAGAAAATAGTTATGAAAATATTCAAATATATTAGCAAAAAAGATGACATCTCAAATTCCATAATTTATAATATACAAGTACTATTGATTGCAATTGTGAATGAATGATTGTTACCCAATATCACTTCTAAGTCTGCTAAATGAAATTAATCACTTGTTTTATGATTGGTATATATTGCATCAACGCAGTGTGGAATTAAATGAACATGCCCCAACAGCCAAAATACTAAATTCAGAAAATATATTGTTACTGTAGAGGGCTTAATTATCAGCTGGGTTTTATTTTGATTCATTTCCTGATAAATAAAACCCAGTTAATATTTAAATTTAACAATAGCATATACTGTTTCCTTCACAAACCAGTGAATTTAAAAACCTAGTGAATTTCTCAGCGATATCAAATCCACTAACATTAAACCGAGTTTATATTTCTTCTTCTGCAATTTTTTAATTAGATTCTAAATTGTCTGGGAAAAAAACAATGGAAGTCTTTGTTTATTGTCTACATATACTGGTCATTGAATGGCTGACAACTTTGACATGAGTGAGTGGGCGTTGGAAGTGGGGGGGGGGTGAAACATTTCAATTATTGACAGATATGCCTTATACTTTTATTAAGTTTTAAATATCTGAATGAATATTCTGACAGGGAAATTATGATGACCAAGCCATTTTGAGATAAATTGCCCTGTGATGAATGTCAACAGGGCAGAAATTAATTAATTAAACAACTGATAGAAAAAAAAAATCAATATTCTTTCTTTCTTGTTATTAACATCATACACTGAACCCATATACACACTTGTATGGTTTTGACTTACTCAAATAAACAGACAGCAAAAAACTGCACTAATCGATAAAATATCTGCTCGCTGACTTTCTGCGAATTTACTCTTTGTGCGTTGACATGTCTAGAAAACCAGAGTCGTCCTGCGCTATGCTGTGAAACAAATAAATTAAAATAAGATATGTGTACACAGAGATATTTCTCTTCAACCATATTACAGCTGCAGTCTTAAAATTTTATCATAAAAATATAAATTACGCATATTAGAATTTTCACACATAAATTAAAAAGATGCATTATAAAATAAGGTGAAACTATGTTCAGATTATTTTACCACTAGTAATTTATTACCCATGTCTGTAGGTATAATTTGGTGAGTAAATTTAAGAAAACAAACAGATCTAATACGAGCAGAAATCCGTAAATATGTAATCAACAATCGAATATGTTGTATGACAATTACTGTTATGAACCCAATGAATATTAGTGACGTCTATTTCCTTGTCTGTTGTCTAGACGACACTATAACCTTTGTATACACTGAATAGTACAAAGACGCCTCTTCCTGATCATATCTTTATTTGTGTGTGATTATCTTATTTCATACGAATGCTGGAGGCATAAATGCAAGATGTAAACGGCAAAGATCGTTGCAACTCTGCATATTTTATGTATGCCTCCAGCGCTTCACACTTTTTTAAATCAGATTTTATAAATGCGATTATTTTTTTTTCTGTCGTTATAAAACTTTTTGTATCCAATACAATATTTGAACTATAAGCATGTGATGAGGCAAATGTCAAAGCGAATTGATGCATACTTTTATGACATTACAATTGCTGATATGACCTGGTAAAAGTTCACATCAGAATATATCCGGTGACGGACACAAATTTTTTTTTTTAATTAACTGAAAATATTTTTTTTTTTATTTTTATAATAATTTGTGGCAAAAACCAAGAATGAAGGCAATTTAAATAGAAACAAAACTAAATAGCAGAACTTACCTGGCAAAGACGACCAAACTTTGCCTTCTCAGTCTGGGTGATCGAACCACTGAAATATAATAAAACAAACACTGTTTTAAATTTAATATGGGTTGCTGCAATGCTTTTCAGAAAGTGTGAACAGTTTTCATTTTTAAAATACTTTTACCCTGACAAATCAGAATAAATGTTCATTGATGATAAGGTTCTTTGTACTGCCTATCATCCATGAGTTTCTTTATCTTTTCAATTTTTGTAGAACATAGATCTCATCCAGTCTATTCAAAACACTTCAAAGTAATCATTTGCAAATATATATTTCAGTAAAATATTCAATTTTCTGGAAGCAGAGAACTGTCAGGATACTGGTCAAAGGACACACTAATTATTTAATTCTACACAGGTGGCATTCGTTCACAAATGGTGAATTGTTATTTTGTTTCATCGTCATTAGATAATTAGCAAAACCGTGTACATTTAATGTACATTTCTAGTTTGAAATTGCGAAACTCAGAAGCCTTGTACATGGTTTTTAATTAGACTGCACTCAAAAGCATGTGGTGATGGAATTTGATAAATAAATACATTTCACCATAGGGTCTATGTCGAAGCCCAAAACCAAGAACTCTGGAGCAATCCTTTTTGCGGCTTATACCCCAGGATGGGTGACAGACACGTAACTAACGCATACCATAGGGTCTAGAGTTCAATAGTATTCATTGTGTAGTGCGTGTTTGATATGGGTCCCATATGATGAACACAACATGTGCAAAATACATTGTTTACACGGCCGTATGACGACCTGCGATCTTTTAAAACTTCACTCTGTGTGATCCAGCCAGTGTAAGCAGTGATCCAGCAAGTCTGGTGTGGGCGTGAGAAAAACAACAGTTCAATGGCGTACAATACTACGATTTCTGGTACAATTTATGTGCGGCCCTTAAATCAACTTCAGTCTATTCAAAGTGACTTTTGTATGTTTTAGTTTAAGTACCTTTTTATGATGCGATCAAATATATTTGAAATAGAACTGGTCTAGCTGGTTTACCCATATACTGTATTTGACTGCCGATTCAATCTTACAAATCAAATAACTGGAGTGGGGAATTATCTAAACTTGTATTGACAATATATAAGCAATGATCTATTTCTGAATAAATTAACTGAGAATATTTCAAGTAAAAATTGAAATGGCACATTGTTCTTGCATTGATCTGGTAATTTCACTTGTATGGCTGGACACGTAGCAGCATTGAAAAAGGCAATATTGCATCCCATAATATTATCAAATGACATACAGACACCCATTACTGTAAAAATTTGGTATTTTCGCTGTAGGAATGATTCAGTGAAAATAAAATCTAGGAAATATACCTTTTTCCCTTATATTTTACATTCAACTTGCCAAAAATGAGTGAAAATAAATTCCATACAAAAATACCCAAAAAGTCTTTTCAGCAAAGTATTTTACAGTAGTTATAAAACCCAAAATGAGAATGTTGGGCATCTTGGTTTCAATATATCTTTTTTATTCCCTAGTTTTCTTTCAGCATTCAACAACATGAATCGTTATACAATTACCGTCAAACGATATTACAAGTTTTATAGATAGTTATGTCAACAAATTTGTTCAAAGATCTAATAACTGTTGAAATTTTAGAAGAGTAGTCCGATCAGTAAATCATGCATTAAAAAAAATTATTCAAAAAGTCTGAAAATAGATAATTTTGGAAAACTCATTTATAAAAGTTGAATAAATTCAATACAATTTTGAAAACACACTTACAATTTAAAAAATCAAAATATTTCGGTGTCTGAAATTAAATAGTTTTGCAAGACCTTACATGAAATGTCCAGTGTAACATTGTGCCCCTGCTGTGCATGTAACACAAACATCGTTTTGAGTACAACAATAATACAGCAAACTATAGGGCCACCTACAGTGATAAAATGTAAATAAAGATGACAGAAATCCGGTATTTATATAAATTCAGAGCAAACAACATTGTTGACTTCCATAGAGATAAAGCTGGTATTGGTTATTGACTCTTATCAGTCTGTGACATTTCCAGAACACATAAAACTATTTGATAAGAGGAATCTACAATCGCTGCAATAAGGTGCAGATAAAATGTACACTATAATGGCTGCCAGCAATTCAAACAAAATATATTTTTCAATTTATGCAAATATGTTCTGCGAATAATTAAATGAAGCCAGGTTCCGTAAATTAAATTTGCGATACTTGTCTATTTGAGGACCTGATGGGCTATGGGTCGATTTATTGAGTATTGTCACAAACTGTGATAGTTGTAAACTAAAATTTAATACTGAGTAAACACATAGTGATATGTCACGTTACATAACATTATTCAAAATAAAAGTATGTAAATAGTTGGTAAATGATTTTTTCTGAAGGTAAAATTAATTTTGAGCTGTCAAGGTGCTTTTTGTACATACATAGCATGAAGGATCTAATGTTAGAATATTTATTATATAAAATTATGTGTGTGTGTTCATTTGATACCACAAATGTTATTTAGGATCAGTATGAATTTGAAATATAATGGAATGATATATTAATTATTTGATTAGTTTTAAAATCTTTATTAAACTTTATGGGAAATTGAAATACTTTGATCAAGAATATTTTGTGGAAGAAAAACTCATAGAAAAGTTTGCAAATGGAAATACTCAATAAAGGTCATACCAGGAAATACAAATGTTACAAGTAATTTATGCATATTAACTGTTATTCAAAAACAAACAAACAGACTCTTTATTTTACCAATACAGAACTTTGGTACCGGAATATAAATAAAGGAATATATAATTTTACAAATAGTTTTTGTCAGCACTATAGCCACTAGAAAGTACTAGTAGGTTGATGAAAGTGTTGTTGGGCTGTATGTCATGTTTCATCACGCTTCCAGCATGAGATCCTGTACTTGTAATGTCTAGGGGGGGATGTCTCAAGCTTGGATCTCACAATGGTCACCATATCTGACTTTGACGTACACGCACACACACACATACATATGCACACGCATACACAGATACATGTGCATACACATCTAACCATCGTTGTGACGACACACATTGGATTGGATTTTAATATAGTTGCACTTTAAAGCGGGAGGGTCGTCACCTGCGCAAGCACAGGAATTGAGTCCCAAGCGCCGATAACAACACACGGTAAAAACGCAAAGGTCCATGGATTGACGCTTGCTTGTAAACAATGACACGCAATGGCCATCTGACGCATGCGCAGGTGACGACTCCTTCGCTCTAATATAGGGTTGCGATTTAATTGGAGTTTAATTAAACTCAATTACATTGCAAATCAACATAGAATTGCATCATTTTAATTAAATAAAAATGAAACAAAGTAGAAATAACATCATACATCCTGTGACTTAAGTTTGTAAAGGGAGTGGGTATGGTACAGTTATATTAATATTAAGTGTACCAAACCTTCCCTCTTTGCTAACTTGACTTAAATAATGAAAATGTTTGGCTGCCAACAGTCCATAAAACCCAAAACAATAAATCATGTACATACACTCAGTTCAAACCTACATATGAATTTGAACCATATTTGAATCAAGTAAAAAATGTACAACATAGAACCAGCTTCACCAAATTTAGGATTTCTGCACATACCCTACCAATTGAAAAACTTAGATATCAAGAGATACCTCCAAAGTGCCAGCTTTGTAATGGGGCTATTGGCAATGAAATCCATGCACTTTTAGACTGTAACCATATTGGAATATCAATTGCTCGCACTGAATTTCTGAATACAGTTAGCATTTATAATGAAAGTTTACTTACACTATCAAAACAACAAATGTTTGCAGAAATTTTAAGTTCAAGAGAAGGGTTCATTGCCAGGTAGTAAATTTATTGACAGCATTATATTTTACTATAAGTAATTTTATTTAGATTTTTGCTTTTATGTATTTTCTTTTCTTTTGTGTGTGTACTTGTGTTTTATTATATTTAATGTCTTTTGACCACAGATAATGTACCTAAATATATTATTTTATGTCAAATAAAATAAACTATACTTGATTAAATATTAATACAAATCATAAAAAAATAGTGAGGGTCGTCACTTGGTAGATTTGTCGTCAGTTGGTAGGTGTAAAGTTAAATGGAAGTCGTCACAATGTTGATGAGACACATATAAGCACACATACACGCTTGCATGCATACACATGACGTTGGAGAATTGGGGGGGGGGGGGGGGTTACACTGACTGACAAACTGGCTATCACATACAAGTGCACATACATACAGCCAGTAGTTCTCTCAACAGACTAATTTAAGTGTGATAAGGGTTTGTTAACTCCAATCTCTTAGGAAACTATGGAATGCTTTTTATTTTAAAGAGGTGCATGTATATGTCACAACCAATCATACACACCCACACACAGATTAGTGTACTCGCTCTTATGCTTATACAAGTACTACAACCAGAATCGCAGACTTGTGAATTCAAACAGGCAAATTTATGAGTACTGTGAAATACTTTATTTTAGCTGGAATTAATTTTCGCTGAAAAAAATGTTGGGTGTTTTGTATGGAATTAATTTTCACCGATTTCTGACGAGTTGAATGTCAAATATAGGAAAAAATGCATATTCGTTGGATTTTATTTCCACTGATTTATTCCTTCAGCGAAATTAAAGTACTGTAAAATGACTAATTTTCACTGGGTTTAAATTTCACTGATTTACCATTTCAGGCATATTCAGTGGGTTTTAAATTCACGGTTTCGTCATTTATTGTGTTCTATGCTAAATTTTACATATTCACTGTGTTTTAATTTAGCGCATTTTTCCAGTCAGCGAAATAAGCTAAATTAAAACCTAGTGAATAATTACCCCCTTTACAGTATTTTACAGTATAAGGTTTTGAGATAATCACATGCAGTTCACCATCAATGCGCTACCATGTTGATGTTGTTTCTACTTATGTAATGAATCAGAGCAATTTATGTAGCGGGACAATTGACTTTATCATAGTTCAACAATAAATGGCAACAAATCAAGTACAAATAGTCTG